GCCATGGTCGCGCGGACACGATCACCGGCTTCACAGACCAGGCGACCCAAGGTACTTACACCTCTTATGTGCCCGCCCATCCAGTCAGGTCCTGGGCTGAGACCAGCCCCGCAGCCGTGCCGCCGCTCCGTTACATTTGGGGCCGCGGCCCACCCTCAGGTGACAGAAACTTCGCCGAGGCCAACACTTTCCAGCCCGCTGCACCTGGACTGTGGCGAGAGTCGCGGCAGCTCCCGGGGCCCGGTCCCGGAGGGCTGACTGGTCCCTCTCCCAGGTCGCCCTGGCCTTGCAAGCCGGCGGGTCACTCTCGAGGCGGCAGGCAGAGGCTAAGATTCGCTTCTTGGGGAAGGGTCTGGAGTGGCCTCGGGCTTAGAGCCCTCGGAGAAGAAAGGAGGGCAAGAGTTGCGTTCCCTGGAGTCACACCGAGAGGAGACTGCACAGTGGTGAGGGTGATGGCTGCTTCCTTGCAGCCATTTCTGCAGCTTCCAGCCTCCTGGAGGCCACACAAATTGGGGGAAGCCCAGGGAAAACTAGGGCAGAGGCAGGTATCAGACTAAAGTAAATCGCCCTGGAGAGGCTGGTGGCATCACGAGGTATGAGGAGTGCCCTGCTCAGCAGGTTGGTTTGGGTGGTCATGGCTTGTATGTGTGTGACGTGTGTAGCTATGGGTGCCTGCGTCTGGTGCTGGGCTCCTGGGAGAACCAGAGGTCAAGGATTCTGGTGGTGCGGGGAGGAGAGGCCTGCTGGGGACCCTGCAGGAATGCAGGCCTCTCTTAGACAAGCACCCCACCTTGTTCTGCCCTGGGCCTTCCAAAGGTAGGATGTAGGTGAGGCTGTGGTGTGGCTGCTGTATGTCATCTGGATTTTATTAATCTCCATTGAAATCACTAAAGCAGACAGATAGAGAAAATTTAACTAATTTCAGGCGGAAATGCAAGTAATTTCGGCTTTAATTCTATCCAGCCAGAGACCCAGCATGGAGGGCAGGAGGGAAAGAAAGGCGAATAGGGTTGGGAAGTGAGCGGGTGGGGCTGAGGCTCCCTGCTTGGGAGCCACTGAGTCAGTACACCTCAGATCCTAGCCTGGGAAGGCAGGCAGAGGCCTTGCAGTGACCAGGTCATCCATCCCCGCCAGCACATGCCCAGTGCCTAGCACAGACTGCTTTATTTTGGGTACCTGGACATCCTGGTACTCAATCTCCAAATGGCCCTATGGTTCGGTTAGAACTATCAAGGCTTCTCTGACGGCCTGACGTGGTCCCTGGGCTGGATGCTGGGATACTTATAGGGAGCCCTAGTTCTGGTGCACAGGGACAGGGAATACTCTAGACTGAAGGGTGCCCTGTAGGCTCCCAGGCTGCAGAAGGGGGTGTGCTGGGCTGTAAGCGGGCACAGGCACCAGAGTCTTCTTAAGGTTGAGCTAGTTCTAGCATGGTCTCAGATAGGAGATAAATCCTTTCTGGGGAGCTCAGCTTGGCTGGTTGAGCCTGAGAGGCCTCCTTTCCCTCCTCCCTCTTGGGGGAAATGGAGTGGCAGGGCTGGTGAACAGGGAGAGGCAGAGGATCTGCAGGGAATCTCAGAGAAAGTGCTCCTTGTGTGGCCCCAAGTGTGCTTCTCCAGCCTCCCTCTCCACCCTGAGTCTCAACTTGGAGCAGAGATGCTTGAGGTCCCCAGAAGCCATTGACAGGGACAGAACCAAGACCTCAGGGCCTGACATTCGTGGCTGGTGAGCAAATCCCCAGTGGTGGGGGGAGTCTGCACAGTCTCTCCGAGTTTAGGGGCAAAACGAAACCATATGACCTCCTTCAAAGGGAGCTCCTTATCTGCTGCGTGGTGGAATTTTAAATTTTTTTTTTTTTCTGAGCCCAAAAAGGAAAAAAAAAAAAAAGTGTGTCCACATTGGAAATAAAACCCCTAAGCCCGAGATAAGTTACTACGGAGGGAAAAATGAGCTCGCGAAGGGACAGACAGGCGGCTCCTGGAAGCGAGACCTCATTCCGGACGCTGCCCTCACTGCAGCAAGGTCATTCGGGGATGCCGGTCATTCGGGGATGCCCCGCACCCCTCCGGGAGGTTCCTTTGCCGCCTTTCCCCCTCTTTCGGAGGCCGCGGGAGCACCAAGAGGAGGTGCGTTTGGGATTGCGGTCGCGAGCAGCAGCTCCCATTGCTGTAAGACCTGAGACCTTGGGCGAGTCTGGCCCCCTACCTAGGCCTCGGTTCCCCTTCGGCAGAGCGAGGTTGGACTAGAGGGTTTTTGTGGCCGTGCAGACGAATTCTCCTGGACGAATCGCCGATCTCCAGCCTGCATGGGAGACCGTGGCCAGCGGTGATGTCCAGGCTGGGTTGGGGGAACAGTGGTAGCGGAAGAGTTTTCAGGAGACAAGAATTTTCCGTTTTCGCACAGCCGGGACTTTCGGCTCTCCTGGGGGATCAGCAGGGCAATAACGATAAGTCTCCTTAAGGCCCAGGACCTCAGGAGTGGGCGCACGACTTCTTTTCACCACCGGAACTCTGATCTCGGATTCTGGCCCCGCAAGTCCATGGCTCTGGGTCAGGCCGCGGTAGCCACCTTCAGTCCTGGTCTTGGGTGTAGGGGTGCGCTCCTGGTCCCGCGGCTCAGGGATATGCAGTGATGTGGGTTGTTGGGGTGATGGGACTTTTGGCTTCCTAAACCAAAGCCCGGTTCCGATAGCCTGGGCGAAGGCGTCTGCTGCTCTGGGCCAGGCTGGCAGCGTTCAGGCTGGGGCAGAGACGCGGGGTTGCGCGCTGGCTCCAACAGGCCTCGCTCCCATATCGAGGGCAGCTGGGCCATTTGCTGTTAGGAGGCCCCGCGCCGACAGTGTGCAGTATTCGCTCTTACTCAGCTCTTTCTCTCTGTCCCTGCCGGTCCCTCGCAGACGAATCTGCAGCCGAAACAGGCCAGAGCTTCCTGTTCGACGTGTCCAGCCTTAACGACGCAGACGAGGTGGTGGGTGCAGAGCTGCGCGTGCTGCGCCGGGGATCTCCAGAGGCGGGCCCAGGCAGCTCGACTTCCCCGCCGCTGCTGCTGCTGTCCACGTGCCCAGGCGCCGCCCGAGCGCCACGCCTGCTGTACTCGCGGGCAGCTGAGCCCCTGGTCGGTCAGCGATGGGAGGTGTTCGACGTGGCGGACGCCATGAGGCGCCACCGTCGTGAACCGCGCCCCCCCCGCGCGTTCTGCCTCTTGCTTCGCGCAGTGACAGGCCCTGTGCGGAGCCCTTTGGCACTGCGGCGTTTGGGCTTCGGCTGGCCGGGCGGAGGGGGCTCTGCGCTAGAGGAGCGCGCGCTGCTAGTCGTCTCCTCCCGCACGCAGAGGAAGGAGAGCTTGTTCCGGGAGATGCGCGCCCAGGCCCGCGCACTCGGGGCCGCTCTGGCGGCACAGCCGCCGCCAGACCCAGGAACCGGCACCGGGTCGCCAAGGGCAGTCACTGCGGGCCGCAGACGGAGGAGGACGGCTTTGGCCGGGACGCGGACAGCGCAAGGCAGCGGCGGGGGCGCGGGCCGGGGCCACGGACGCAGGGGCCGGAGCCGCTGCAGCCGTAAGCCGCTGCACGTGGACTTCAAGGAGCTCGGCTGGGACGACTGGATCATTGCGCCGCTAGACTACGAAGCGTACCACTGCGAGGGCGTTTGCGACTTCCCTCTGCGCTCGCACCTCGAGCCCACCAACCACGCAATCATTCAGACGCTGCTCAACTCCATGGCGCCAGACGCGGCGCCGGCCTCCTGCTGTGTGCCCGCGCGCCTCAGCCCCATCAGCATCCTCTACATTGACGCCGCCAACAATGTTGTCTACAAGCAATACGAGGACATGGTGGTGGAGGCCTGCGGCTGCAGGTAGCGCGCGGGCCGGGGACGGGGCAGCCGCGCGGCCGAGGACCCCCAGCTGATGAGCAGCAGAGGGCCAGCCTGTCACCGAGCGTGGGTGCAAGTCCGATGTGACCCAGCGCCCTCTTGGAGGAGGGAGATCACACGTTCACACTGACACACACTCGTGCAGTCACACACACATTTACTGGGGACAGCATGTGAAAGCCTTGGGAAGAGATGCCCTGCCGGTACCGAATGTCAGAGCCTTGTGTATTTTGCAAACAGATAACCGTGGCGCCCACTGCCTCCATTTGGGGAGAGGAAGGTGTTTGTGCTTATGTTGCAGTAACAGGCACGAAAATCAGGTAGAAACGGGTTAGGAAATTGGAAGCTCCAGAATGGGAGAACCAAAGGGGTACTCGAGCATGTTTTATCTCACCCCTTCTTGTCTCTGGCCCGACGTGGGGGCATCGCTTCCCTGGGTGGCTGAGCGCTGCGTGGTGCACTCCGTGATCCACTGCAAGGCTGTAATGCCCTTTCCGAGGGTTTGTGTTGCATTTGGCCGTTTACTCTGGAACTGTTGCAAAAAGCATCTTTTTTTTTTTTTTCTTTTTTAACTTTTAAAATTTAACGTGCCCCTGCTTCATTTTTGAAAGGGAAGTTTTGTCTGAAAGAAGGTGTTGTGGAGCTTCCCAGATTTGTGCAAAGGTCGGTACCGCCCCCCCCCCGCCTTTTTTTTTTTTTTTTTTTTTAAATCAATTCCAATTGGAAATGTTCTGGAAAGTGGAAAGGATATTTTTCTTTCTGTGGGGAAGTGAAATGGGGGAGGGGTTTAAACGGCTGAGTCTGATCTAACAGGATATTGGGGTGGGATAGGATCTGCCAAGTTCAGAAGCTCCCCAGCTGGTCGGGGGAGATGGTACCCATGCTTTGGGTGGCTTAGGAGGAAGTTAGTGCAATGGCCGGGAATGGGGAAGGTGGGGATGGGGGAGGGGAGCTACTGCTTTTCCTAGAGACCTGCCAGGAGGTTTTCCTAAGAAGCCGGGGAAGAGACTCTCAGGGCTTGAGAGGCAGGGAGGTGTCCTGGGTCCCACTCCAGCCGAGGACTCTGCCACGTAGGTGCAAGCTCCCAGGGGCCGACCCGGGCTTGTGCTAGTTATCAAGTAAGTCGGCCTCTGCTTTTTACCTGCATTCGCTATGTTGTTGCTGTAGTTTTTGGCAGTGCGATAGTAACGGGAAGTGAAGCCACACAAAAGTGCTTTTGTCAGACTTCAACTCACAACCGAGATCTTTAGAGCAGGGGGAAGGTCTGCCCCTTCCCCTCATCAGCTCCTTGGCTTGGCTGCTGTGCCCTTGGAAGGGCAGGGCCTTGGTGTAGGGGAGCAGAGGTGGAAGCCTATCCCCCAGTTGCCAGATTTTGCCCCGAAGAGTCTTATCGATGGGGGGATTTTCTAGGCATGTAAAAGTGAGTTCGAACATTCAGCCTTCACTGTTTGGTTTGATTTGTTTATCCCTGGGAATCCTTTGTGGCTTTTTGTCAGTAGGCTGGGAGAGGGAAACTAGTTGGACTCCACCTGTCTGGGGTGAGGGCTTCTTAGAATAGCCCCGCAGCCCTCCCAGTGCATCTGTGTGATGTGCAGGACTTTCCCCTTCAGAGTCCTGGGGAGCATTAATTCCACCCTGTGTTGGATGCAGGACAATTCATACACATTTTCATTCTCAGTGATTACACTCTTGAGAGAGAGAAGACAGACATAGGATTTAGATACAGCTAATTTACTTATGGGCCCCACCTGAAGCAATTGGTTTTCATCCTGTAAAATTCTCCCAAAAGAAAAAAAAAAAGCACGTGTTACTCTTAAAATTAAGATGTCCCCCTTCCTACTATGTGAATTTATATTCTGTGGCTGTATGAGTAGCTATAAATAACCAGAAAATGAACAGTGTCTTCAGGTTAAAAATTTGAAAAATATCCCAAAGTGGCTGCGCTGGTACAATTCCACCTTATTTTAGTGACTGGGCAAAGATTGTCCCTAAATTTGTGGATTTTGCCAGAGACGCCTCACTCTCGTTTTCTAAACGAAGCTTGTCATAATGAAGAATTATATAAAAAATATAGCACTAAAGTGTTAAAAGTTGTAGTATTAGAAGGTTTAGAAAGGAAGTTAATGACAAAGTGCAGTTAAATGTTATTTTGAAGAAAGTCTAGGGTATTTAATATCTTTGGATAAAAGCAAACATTTTGATAGTTTTTTAGTGACTAGGAAAAACAATTTTTTGGGCAGAAATGTCTTTAGCCTGGCTTTTTTATGGTAGGGAAAAGAACTGTCAATTTCCCCTCATTCCTTCTGATGACCTCCTTCTAACGAGATGTGTTGTGAGTGGTGTGGGAAGTAGGTACCTTCCTGCATCTTGAGTTCAGGTGGCACCAGGGGGAGGGGTGTTGTCCTTGGACAATGACCGTTCCTTCCATGGCCCCATACCCTCAGTGTGCTCTTTGTTTACTGGTTAAAAGGAATGCTTCCCAGATTTCTCTGGAGCAGGTGAAGCCCCCAGGGGCCACTCTGCCCAACCCTCTGGCATCTCAGTCCATTCACTAGGTGAATGCAGAGGATCCATTTCACTTTGTAAAAATGACAACAAAGGGCCAACACATGTGGGACAGACGGCTTTTTGCTGCTAAGATGTGGTTTAACTAGCATTGCCAAGATGTGGAGAAAAGCGTTCTGCCAACACAGTTGGTAGTAGCACCCTGAGCTCTCTTCTAGGTAGTGGGGGACAGGCCTGGGTGACTGGCATGAACTCAGCTTCTCTGTTGCAACCCCCAGCTGGAATCTCCAGTCACTATGGATGGGAGAACTGACAGGCAGAGAGAAAGCATGTCAAGACTGTGAGTAAACGCTGTCCCCTCAACCCCAATCTGAGCTCACCAAAGTCTCCCTCCTAAAGTAAACAGAATTTTCCATTTCGTTGGGAGAATTGTGCACTACTAGTTGACATCATTTGAACCATGATTTCCAGGTGGTGAGTAGGATTTGGTATCCCTTAGGGAGCTCGGGGCAGGCCAGCTGGGGCCCAAGGAGGGCTGGTGCTGGGTCTGTCAAACACGAAGATAGTCTGGTCACTGCTGCTTGAAGCCAAGGCTTTCGTGTTAAGGAGGATCACCCACACTGGCAGGCGGGCATTTCCACTGATGCCCAAACACACTTGCCTTGTTGAATCCTGACTTTCCAAGCAGCTGCGCTGGGTCTTCCAGAGAAGGTGGCAGGCTTTGCCGTCTTAGCTTGGGGAAGTCAGGCTGGAGCTGTGCTAAGTCATTGTATCCATGCTACCCTTCACCGTACCCTCCTGGCAACAATATGAGGTGTGGATTTTGTGATAGGAGAATCCAGACTCCACGAAGCCCAGGGCAGTCTCTTCTCCCTGGCAGCTCTCATGATGTCGGCAGGAGTGGGCGCCTCACCTTGGCTACTGAAGAGAGTACCGATAATCCCGTGGATGGAACAGGACAGAGTGTAATTCAGTCCCTACACATTGTATATGCTGTCGTCAATTTCATTTAAACCCACAGCAGAAAACAACTAGGATTTGTAGACTGATCTTCTTAGAGCAGGGAGAAAAATGACGTTCTTTCCAAAAGCAGCTAGTGCAGAGATAAAGTCAGGCTCTTCCTGTGCTTGAATCTGGTCTCCAGGAAATCCAGTGGCAGGAAGAGAGTGTCCTGTGGCTGCCTCTGGGTGCACAGAATCACTGGGCCTGGCTGATTCTCATGAGAACCTGTCATCTCAGGGAGACAGACCTCCCCCTGGCCCTCAGTGGGCCATAGGCCAAGAGGCCTGAGTCAGATCGCGCAGTGAGCTGGAGGGAGCAAGGCTCTGAAAGCGGCAGTCTAGCAGAGGGAGCTTGGGCCTGCGCTTGCCCCTCAGAAAGTGTCTGGATTGGGAAGGGAAGAGAAGAGAAGCTGCCGAGTGAACCCAACAGCCAAACTTTGGGCGAGTGGAAAGTAACTAGATCCCTCTGGGGGATGGTACATCTGAGCTGCACCAGAGTCAGAGCCCACTGTGGGCTTCCGAGTGCCCAGAGGCAGCTGCTCCCTGCGCACAGCATGGCCTGCGCCCGCCTCAGGGGAGGCCACTTGGGCCAGGGCACCACAGGGCGTCTCCTGAGAGAGGTCTGAGGCTAGTTATGGGCAGTCACCTCCCTGCTGGAGCTTCATCTTCTGTCCTGTAAAATGATGCCCTCTCCAGTTCCAAGGTTCTAGGATTTTACCTTGCCCTAAAACCCACTCAGACAGCTTGAAGGCAGAGCAAATGTGACGGCTCCTGGAGAAGGTCCTCTCCCAATCCCAGTCCCAGAGCCATGTCTTACAGGTTTTGCAGCTCTTGCCTGTGCGTGTGCGTGTGTGTGTGTGTGTGTCCATTTTACTCCTATCCTCAGTAGGTGCCTCATGGATGTGCTTTGAATTCCCCTGGGCTGAGGCAGGTGCGGGGAAGGCCCGCACCTTGAGGGTGGGGTTCAGCTACCCAGAGCCAGGAGCTGGCTGAGGGCACTGCCCACCCAGCTGCAGTTCCTCCTGTGCTCAGTGGGGTGGGTACAGCCACACTCAAGCTGAGACTGTCTGAGAGAGCTAGTGCTGGGAAGGGCTCTACCTGCTGCTGAGGCCTCTGCAGGCAGAAGAGGCAAGGCAAGGCTCTGCCTGGTTGGTCACCCAGACAGGGACCTGGGACTGTCCCAGAAGCCCTGGACGAGGCAGGCAGGACTGTCCCAGAATGGACTCCTTGGGTCCCCATCCCCTCCTCACCACCATGCCCATGTCTGGCTCTGAGGTCCCCTTGCAGCTTCCCAGGAGAGTGACCCTGGGGTAGCATCAGACGAGCTTCTCTCTCTCTTCCTTTTTATGATCTGGAAAATGGTGGGAGAGGTTAACATAAAGAAGCACCAGAAGGGAGGACCGAAAAAGATGTTTATTTCTAAGTTTTCAGACAGCTTGGCATCTTGTACCTGGAACCTCCTGACCATACAGACTGGAGCAGAGCTGTCTTCCTCCCTCTGTGCTTTTATGGGCTTTAATCTGTGTGCACAGCTTAGT